CGCAGAAAACCCAAATATTTTTTTTTCGTTAAACGCGCGTTCTAAACGATTAAAAGCACATTTGTATTGTCTCGTCGCTGGCGTTCCGCCGAACACCGGGCTGCTGTCATATTGTTTCTCTTATACACAATAATTTCCGGCATATGAATCAACGTTGATTCCCGCTTACTTGTGAACTCAATGGTCACATCGCCCATGATAACTCGTTTTTTAGCCATATGCGACGGTAAACTTTCCCCATATACTCGAGTTATTTTTTTTAGCTTATTTTTGCTCCCAGTTTTTTTTGCAAATACGCATACTTGAAATCAAAACTCAAACACCAAATTGAGTCATTAGTTCTTTCACTAAACGCTAATGCTATGTTTTTGGACAGCTTTTTGATTTTCAGAATCTGTAATTTGTTGCGATAAATTTGCTTGCCAGTTGCTTCTTAACTTATTGTATTTTTCATTGTATTGCCCGTTTTTGCGGTCGATGTTTTTGCAGAAAAAAAACGGTGTGTATACTATTACTGAGGTGTAAGTATGCACATCGGAACAGTTCCTCAGCCTCAAAAAATGAATAGGTGTTTTCCTTTCACAGTTACTTACGATTGAAGAAAATCCCTATGGCAAGCTACTTTTGTTTCGTATAAATCTCTGAGAGGGTGAATTTCTTGAACTTTGCGTTTTATTGGTGAAATTTGGGGTGCCCCATTTTTTTTTCGTTATATCATTCAGCTAAACTTTTCATTTCTCTTGAGCCTTCATGGGAGAATATTGTTTCCCAATATGTTTTATATGGCTACCTTCCGCGGAGAAAAATTCTCTTTAGAATATACATCAATCCGTCTGAGTTTTTTTTTCCTGAAAAATCGGCATCATTGGCGTCACTTTAAAATACATAAAGGAGTTTAAATGGCTTGGATGTGAATGTGAAAGATTACTTTTTTTTTAATATTCTACAGATTCATAGTTTTCTGAGATAACAGCGAATCTGGGCTCGCGCAAAGTGTTTGACAGTTTTTTTCTCAGCTATTTTCCCCCAGATTCACCTTCTCCAGTTCTTTGACGGTTCGACACCATACAATTCGAATCGTGAATTCCTTGAACTCTTCACTGCTACATTTCTCCCCAAACTTGCGAGTAACTTTCGGCCAATTTCTGAAACTTATTTTCATCCGTAGGAATAACTGTCCGAACTTTTTAAGGCTTTGCAAACTTAACCCTTAAACTTCAACTATCGCATAATGTTTCTATTTCTAAACTGTTTCAGTTTTAGGTTTTCCTCACAATTGTGACCTTTAACCTGAATCTATAGCCTCCAACCCAATTAACAGGTTCACATTTCACTAAGTGGAGTTTGATGCTTGCTAATGAGTCGTAGACGTACCGATGCTTTCCCGCATAATTTTGACACTCTACTGTTCTTCAGCTCACCTCTTTCTCTATCTCCATCTCAAATTGTAACGCATTTTTTGGTGAAAATGCCCCCATGCACAGTTGTTTTTAGGTCCTCTTTGTCCATATTTCACTTAAATACATATATCACGCTTGGTTCAAAAATTGGCCTCGAACTGTTTTGGCCGAAAAACAAAAAAACAACAAGAAATAAAGGATTGCTTTTACCACAGGACCAACAATCTGTCTTTTAAGGAAAAATATACTGATTGTTTTTTCATCGTTTGTCACGATTAAGTCGTCTCAGTTTCTTTATGAACAATGAATTACGCTTCTACACGAAACAATTTTGCTTACGTTTAGGTAACAAAAACTTTCCCCGTTTGTAAGGTTAGTATCTACAATAATTTACATGTCATAAGTCATTCTGCAACTCAAACTTAAATGCCATTTCAGCCGGCATCAGCCAAAGCACATGGAATCCTTTTGCAAAACTAACTTAGAAACATTGAAAAGAAAGAATTTACTGGCGGTCTTTTCCTGTTCCTAATGTATCTCTTGTTCACTTGTCCGCTACAAACTATATTATTTCGTAAATCTTATAGCCAATAATTTATTATAGAGACAGCTTGTTTTGCGAATACCATTAACAACTATGAAGAACCAACTAAAACGAATCTTTAAATCTTTAGTATATCATTTGATTTTACACAGTTTTGCACAAAAAATTCCGCACAAACATAACCTTACTTTGAACTTTTTGCTATTGAAGCCCGATATCTCATAAACAAAATTTTTTTAAACCAAACTTTTCAACTTTGCGGGGGGTTTAATAGAAATAAAAAAGCCGCATTTTATTCCAGTGGAACAATGGCCTCCAAAATGGCGCAACAACATTTTGTCTATGAGCATAAATTAGTTTACGAATCGAGCACGTAACAGTGCTTGTTTATTTTGGTTGTACAATTTTTTTACCTGAATTCATTTTTGACCTAAGAAAATGGATAACAATTGATAAAAGTTCGGCGAAGTTTTGACATTTATTGATTAGAAAAATATTTTAGAAAGAAGAATTTAAGCAAAAACAAACGACAAACCAATCTGAAATGAGAAACAATAGGAAAAATGAAAAAGAACAGAAACATAGATAAAAATATCGATGAAAAAAAATGAAAAGGTCTCTCTTCTTTGAATGTCTAGTCCTTCATTACTGAAAAAGTTTTTTAAATAAAATTATTTTTTTTCACTAGGATCAAATACTGATGAATTCTTTCTCACTTCTTGAAAATCAGTTTTTCCCTAATATTAAAGGAATCATGTTAATCGTAAGATTTATGTATTCTAAAATTTTTTTTGCCATTATGAAGTTTTTTCTTTCATCTTAGTTTTGTCAAGTTCAATACTCAATCTGTCTCTAACACTTTCCTCCGTCTTACCGTAGAAGATTTTGTATAACTTATAAAAATCTTTTTCAATTTCATCTCTAACTCGAGATCTCGTATTCGGTTTATGATCAAAACAATTTTTCACTTAAGACTCACTCACATTATGAACTTGCTCAATAACAGTTCCATGTCTTATATAAGACTTAAACGTTCTGACTTGACATAAATTATGTTTCTTTTCTGACCAAAAGCATATTATTGTTCCGACTTTCAATACAAAAGTAACGGAATATTGTGCTCGGGTGGGTTTTTTCTTCTTCAGACAAATTTCGACTTTTTAACTAGCCACTTTTGACGGAATTTTTATTATATCATTCAAAAAGTATTGTTGTCCTGAGCTTAAATTTGAAAAGATATTTCACCTGTGATCTTTTTTAGTAATATTATGAGGGTTTAAAGGTTGCCAATTTGGCCATTTTGACTAATTTGGGACAATTAACGCACGAGATAGTGCGAGCTATTAACGCGTGAGCGGAGATTTAATCCGTCTTAGAAATTGTTCCAAATTGGTTGAACGAAGCTTATTTGCCATAATTGATTCGTTACAAGCAACGAAATCTATCCTTTTGTACTTAATATGGCGTGTGGGCGATGATTTTCATTACAAAATTCAAAATTTAGAAAAACAAATTTCCTTTTATATTTCATTAAATTAGTTATTACTGCTCCATAAACCTCAAAAGTCAGTCGGAACATTCAGGGCTTCTCCTTGATACGAGCAGTTTTGTTTATCATGTCCGTTATAGCATATTATAGTCCGTAAATTGTGCTTTCAGAGGAACCTAAATTTGATAAATTTTTTATGTATTTTTTGATAGTTTCTGCTAACTCTTGTTAATTGAGCTTTGTATTTAATATTATGTTCAATATTTGCACATTTATCGGCCGCAACGTATTTAAGTAATTGTATGGCATGCATTTGATTTGTATTATTTTGAGCTAAGTGAGTATGAGTTCTGTAAAATTACTGATTCTTTCTTATAGAGTTTTTTTTCTAAATTTTACAGAATTACTGACCAGCTATGAAACATCTGGTCGTTTTTGATCACGTCTTCTATAATATGGCTCTCAAATTGGAAACATTATTGATTACTCATTAAAACTTAATAAAAATATCAAATAATTATTTCCAATGTTGCTACTTTTTGATATTTCGTTTGAGCTTGAATTTTTCAAAAAATTTTTTTTTCTTACTTCACTACATTTTTTGATTTAGTTCAAATTTTAGTGAGCAATCTAATGAAATTGTTAGCCACAATAAGTAAGAAATGGTATCAACTGTTGACCACTTTTTCGAATCAAAGTTTTTTTGAGTGGCAGAATCCGTCTAGCATTCTAATCAAATTGTCACCCACAAAAAGTATGAAATTGGCATCAAATGAGAGTTAATTGATTTCCTTATAGTTAAATATTTTCATGAAAAACTTCAAATCAGGAGACAAATTGTTCTCACAACCTTAAAATCACTTTTGCAGTCAGACTGAATTTATGCTTTTTCGTTTTTACGCCAACTAATTTTTTAAGCAAAATATTCGAATCTATTTGCTGCAAACTAACTCAAAGCAGCACCTAACTAATACAAAACTATTTGATGAATACTTGAATACAACAATGATTTCGGTTGGAAAGCGCGTTACTTTCTAGCGTTACTTTTCTAGCGTTTTTGTACGTTTTTTCCTCAAGCGTCTTATGGTACGTTTTTTTTATAGCGTTACTTTTTATAAGTCAAATAAAAATAACACTTTTTCTTCCTATAACGTTCAGGCCGATTTTTTTTCAGAAATTTGTTGTTTGTCTAGTTTTCACATCATATATGTTTTAGGTACTTGAGTAAAAAACACTATGGATCATTGTGAGTGTACCTCGTGTGGCGAAAAATATCCTAGTATTCAATTTTTCCATTGTACACATTTTGCGGAAAAACAAGAGGTTGATGGAGCTGTTGACAAGTTGTGCGAGTCCTGCATTGTTCCTCACATTAGAAAACATGCTCAAGACGTAACTGATGCCAAAGGCAACAAACCTTTAATTTGCACAGAGCATAAGATACTGAGACTCCAGTACTGCAGGACCTGCGATCTTGCTTTCTGCTCGCAGTGTGTTAGTTATCATAGTAAGCATGAATTTCAAACTCTTGCCGAAAAAGACAAAGAGTTGAAAAAAGTGATTCACGAAATTTTGACGGATTTAGAAACTGTGAAAGAAAAACCGTTGAGGTTGAAGAAAGAAGAATTATCTAAAATAGTGGAAGAAAAACGCCAAGAGATAGAAAACCTAAAGCAATTCGTTGATGCGAAATTGAACCAAATTAAGTTAAAAACCGATGAAATACTTGACAGAAAACTCGAGGGAATCATAGCAGAAGAAAATGAGTTGAATAATGATGTGGTTGATTTGGGAAATATGCAGGCAAAGTGTAGAACATTGTTGGGTATGTCTACTGCTTCACTTATAGAAACACTGCCCAAAATACGACTCGAGATTGAGACGTTGAACAAAGCCTATCAGCGCTCGATGACAAAAGAAGTTAAATTAACTATTGTCGATGTGAACTCATTGGATTACTTAATCAAGGATTCCGAGATCAATATTTTGAAAGCTGTCGAAGAACAAAGAATAACAGAAGAAACTACAGTTTTCTTAGCTCCGTCTCTGAGTGCTGATGAGGCTCTAGCTCATGAATTCCATAAAGATCCTCACGGAGGTCTCAAAATATCAAAACTAGATGTAGATTGTTATGGAACAAAGCGCCAAATCAGTTCTTCGTACACTCTTCCTGTCTCTTCAAATCTAAAAGTAAAGAGAGTGTTTCCTATGGGGTATCAAGTACTGATCAAGTTTGACACTGGTATATTGATTTTGTTTGATATCAGCCAGAAAACTTTCAGGGTTTTTGAACAGCCTGCCATTATTTCTCTGTTATGGCCGTATTGTAACTATAGTAATACTATTGCATGGTCATATTGGGACGAAGAAAGAAAGAAGATTAAATTTACTCATGACGATATGTGTGAAATTGAGTGTGAGCAGAAGCCATTTATTCGAATGAGCTGTTCTAATTCAAATCTAATGTGTTTTGTAGATGCAAACCAAAAAATCATAAGTGTTGATACCTGCATGAAAAAGGTTCAGCAAAAACCAGAAATCCAAGCCCAGCAGCACCAAGTCCAATCTATTGACTGTATATCTACTTATCATAACTATCTGTTTGTCTGGTCCGCTTCAGTCAAAGCAGTGAGTTACATTCTAAAGGACAGCGCAGGGAATTTCCGCACAATGCAAAAGATATCTTGGCTCGACAAGCCTGAAATTTTCGAAGTGAATCTAAAAGAAATACTTGGGGAGAAATCATTCGTACTAGTGCCTTCAGTGAAGCCTGAAGACTCACAGGAGGACAAATATGACTTGTTTGGTGTTTGGTTAGGACAGCTTTCCTCCAAGCTAAGATAATTTTCTGAAACACTGCTTTCATAGAAAAACCATATGATATAGCTTTAGAAGAACCATAAAAATTTAGTAGGTTATTCTTATAAAGTAAAGTATGAACGAGAGTGCAAAGGCCCCAAACAAGTATTATCACAGTGAAAGCTTTTAAAAAACTTTTTTTTAATATGATGATTGTCTAACTTTTCCTTGTAGTTGTAAATTCATTCGCAATGTATATAATTAAATGCGTTTTAACTGTTTTACAAAACATTTCATCAGATCAGATCACTTGATTTTGTACAAATGGTGAATAGAAGGCTAGAATAGATTTTCAGAGATTATTTCAAATTTTAGGCCATTTGAAGTATATTCATACATTTATAATTTTATCTGATTTATAACATTTTTGACAAGAAAATATCTTTAGAGTTTCAGAAATAGCAGACTAAAATCCTGGAGACGGAAAAAGAAAAAAATACTTAGACGCGAAATTCCAATAGACTTTTTTGCTGTTCATTTTTATTTATTCAATTTTTTGAATTTTTCTTAGTTCTATCTGATTTACAAATTTTATTTCAGGAAAACATCTTCAGGGTTTCAGAATTAGCGAATTTAAAAGCTGCGAGTGATAAACAAAAAAATATTGACGCAAAAGCCATTTTAGGCCATTTGCGATGAGTTTTTGTTTTTCAATTTTATTCATAAAGTTTTCCGATTCTCAATTTTTTTGAGAAACAAACTATTTAGAGTCTCAAAAGTTGCAAATTTACAAGCTGAAAACCGAAAAAAATATATATATAGTATACGCAAAAGATCCAATGTTTTTTTGCTGTTCAGCTATGGATATACAAAACATACCTGTTTTAAAAATCTAATGTTAGATGAGTTGCAAAAGGTGGTCTATTTTAGTGATGATCGTAGGTTGACAAAAGGTCTTTTTATCCAAGTTTTTTTGATTGTATGAATGCAAGAAAAGTTGAATAATATACTTCTATCTGTTTGCATTTCCACCATTCTGTCTGCTTTTTTCGGCCGATAGTTTCTTGCAGCTTCATAGTCCAATGCTGATTTTTTTCTACTTTTTTAGAAGTTTCAAAAAATCTTAAATAAATAATGAAATTTATTTATTTAAAGATAACTTAAAGAGGAATTGACTTGACTTGACTTTAAGTGACCCGGGTTGACGTCCATAAAAGAAAAATGCTTATCATACAATTTCATATATGATGACTATGGAAAAAAGCTTATCATACAATTTTCATACAAAATTTACAAACTGTTTTGAACGTTTTTAGAGAAATACTTCTGTTCTATTTCCATCTTTTGAATCTTTCTGCTCAATAAAAACATGATTTTAACTTTGGTTAAAAAAAATGCTTACCATAATGTTTTCCTATATCAAAATTGTACGATAAGCATTTTGCTATAGAAAAAAAAAAATCTTCAAAATTATTTTAACAATGTTTCTGGATGAATTTACATGAGTTTAAAAAATTTTTTATTGAAAGAATGCAATTTTACTCTCAAAAACATGATTTTTGTTGGTAAAAAATGCTGAAAAATGTAAAAAAATTGAAAAATGTATGATATTCATTTTTTCATAAGCAAAAACACAAAATTGAGGTAAAAACTCTCTAATCCCTTTTTTTGGTTGCTAACTTGATTTTATGCTTAAAATACATTTTGCTAAGAAAAAGTTTTGCCTACAAAAATTGACTTTTTGTGCTTATAACGTAGTCCAGGATGAATTTTTTACCCAAAAAATCCGAAAATCGCAAAAATTGTTTTTTTTTGTAAACACGATTATGATTTTATTATTTCATTAGCTAAGATAAAAATAAATTAAAAAAACAGGCCTTTTTCTCAGCTACTAAAATTTTCAAACAAAAATTATCCAGCCATATACAAAAAGTTACATTTTTGGTATATAATTTCATGTGAAAATGTAAAAACTAACGTAGGTGGTAAAATTAACCAAATGCAGTTTATCTGCGTGGTAACTGCCAGTTTCACTCTGGGTTTTCTTGTGACAAAAAGTCCAGGGGTAGTGTTTCGGATGAAACACAAAATTTCAAAACAATTTTTTCTGATATTTTCATTTATGGAAAAAAGCCTTATCATACAATTTCATAGTATGGAAAAAATGCCTATCATAATATTTCGTAGCATGGAAAAAATGCTAATCATGCCATTTTCATAGTTTTTTTTCGGTCTATGAAATAGTATGATAAATGTTTTTTTTTCATAATATGAAATAGTATGATAAGCATTTTTTGTCAATCCGGGGAATCAAGTTTCCGAAAACTTTTCGGGCTATTTATAAAGAATGGTTGTCTAGTAGTAAATAATTTGCAATCAATTTTCAAAGTATCAAAAATTAAAAACGAGAAGTCATTATATAATTGAAACTCCAAAGGGGTCGTAATTATCCAGGTTATCCTGCAAAAACTGAAAGTTTGAATTGTTGATAAATGAAAGTTTTTTTTTCAATCTGATCAAAAACTTTTTCGATTCATGTTCAACTCGGGTTGGACAACTTGGTTTCAGTTTTCTGAGAGAGTGTACTATCTCATTATTTTTTGGTTCTAATCAATTTGCAGTAAGGTTGGTAAATTTCGAACAGCAATTTGTTGCAGTATTCCTACGATTTCCTTATGAAGAGTAATTTTTAGAGCAGTTTTCAGTTATCCCAAGTGGGAGGCAGGAGCGAATTAGACAAAAAAAAGCTGCACGAGGAAATTGTGTCGATTTTTTTTACTACAATTTGTTTTCAGTTTTCCTCTCAAATGCTTTCCCCTCATCGCATCAAAAACGAATCAAAACATACATTTTCATGTAGACCAAAATAGTTTTAGTTATGCCAAATGGCGTTTGATCCAGTTTTTCATATATGGACAACTTTTTGAAAGACTTTTTTGGTTAACTTCAAAACATCAAAGCAGTAGTTTGTGTTATTTTCTAATATATAAGTTTTCTAAATTGGTTAAAAATTGTTTTTTATTAAAATGATCAAAAATCAAAAATTTCTCTCATTTTTAAAACTAAACTTACTTTGATGATGCTTTTGCCATGCACAAGATTGTATCAGATTGAAAAAATAGATGTACGAGGAATATATGCTATTGTTTTACTGTAGGAAGTAACTCTTTGAAATTTCTACTAAGTTTTCGTTGATTAAAAGTTCAGGATCAAAAATTTTTGAAAGAGCTTAGTTTTAGTAAATTTGGTCCATAGCAAATAAAGGACAGAATTATGTGGGTCGATATGTTCAACTAGTGAAAAAGGGTGAATAGATTATTTAATTAAGTCATATAATATACGGTAAGGCTTAGCACAAAAAAGTTTCCAGCAGCCTATTTTTGGCAGATAGAACAAGGTTGTTGGCCTGAAAGCCGGTAGAAAAACAATTCGGCAATGTTAATTTTGCCGTGTAGGTGAATGTCCCGGATGCAGACATTGAGGTACAGCCAGAAGTATAAGATGGTAGCTGTCACGTGGTTGATTCAATTAGTTGCTGAATAAGTTATACTTCTGTAAGAAATGATAAAATAAATTTGAGTTTGGAAGTCTTTATCGCATTACTATGGTCTTTTTAAGATTGGTTTAAGGGTTGTTTATATAATTTGTGCCTGAAAATCTTACTGAGTGCCTGAAATTATTAAATGAGATCGCTACTTCTATATCGAAATTTTATTGCACTGAATGTTAAAAGAAGGTATGAGTGAAATTCGTAATTAAACAAATGACGTCATCGTGCTGTGCACTAAAATCGTGAAACATTAGGGACAGAAAATGTGTGTTTCTATGACGGTGTCGGTGAAATACTCGTCGGTGTCTACGATGGTCAAAAATAACGTCAAGTTTGACCATTGCTGATCATAGTATGAAGACTTTGTGACTTCATGATTCTGTTAGGGTTTGCTTCTTTTGTTAGTTTTTTTGAAGAGATTTAGTAACAATTTTGAGCTTTTCTTCTATTCCATAAGGAGAGATAAGAATGAATGATTTTGAAAGCTGATCTTGACGTTGTGAAATTTTTTTTACAGGATATGTAGATATAAAAATGTAATTTTGCCACCTAAATCGTAAGATTTCTTGATGAGGCTTCATATTCATAAATTGATAGAGTATAAAGAGTTCTTCTCATGGTTTGAGTGGGAATTTGTTGAAACCTGCAAAACTTATTTCGACTGTGATCATAATTAGCTAATATGTTTTGTTATATATTTATCGGATTAGTCGACTGAGGTTAACAAAATGCATGGAGAGTGTTGAAGAAGGGGAACCAGAGTGGCTCAGAAGGCGGAAAGTGATCGAGGCTGAGGGGGGACAAAAACCGCGTCGTAAATCTCCTACCTTCTCTTTTCAGCATAGACTAAAATTAATATTGTTCCAAGAAAGAAACTTTCCCCGCACTGGAGTTTCATGGGAAATAATTGATTGCAATAGATTATATCGCTAAACAATTTAACCCATATAATCGATTTTCATGACCCATTCAACAATGAAAATGGATTATAATCGAATAATTTTAAAATCCATTTTAATCGCTTGTTTTGAAAATATAATTGATTTTTCCAGTCCACAAAACTCCAAGAAAATAGATTTTTTTCTGCCTACTACCCCACCCACTCCCCCACTATATCCCTCTTTATTTTACCCACCACTTCTATCCACCACCACCACCCCTCACTGTTTTACCCCACTGCTTTGGCGTATAAACAGTCTAGTTACCTGCAACCGCCCCTCCCCCACATACGGTGGCGGTGGCCTAAACAGCTGAGGGGGGAGGGGTAGTCGAGAGGGGTTGTTGTTAGAAATGGTGATGGACCAGTTTATGTATATCCCAGGGGTAGTGGGTGGGAGAGGGGCAGTTGGTGGGGGCGTAGTGGGCGAATTGTAATTTTTTACGATGGCGATGGTGAAAAAAATAACTGTTAAATAAAAAGTTAAAATGCCAAATTGAGCAAGTAGAGAAATTTAAATGTATAAA